TGCAGAAAGACAGACTCACAAGATTTGTAAGAATTTTCTCTGAAAGTGAAACCTGTTGAAGAAATTAAATGAAACTGCCTTTAGGATTTACTCTACATGATAAATGTAAGGACTTTAATTTTAATTGAATAGAAACAAAACAACTGACAAAAAAAGCTTTTCATTCTTTTTAATTGTCCACCATTTTTTTCCTTTTTTTTATTAATAATTTTGAATAAAAAAGAATCCATCCATCTCTATTCCCTGTTTCAAAAAATGTCAAAACATATAATTCTTTTTGCTTCAATTTCATGTTTTTTCATTCCATTTTTATAGGAGTATTTTTGAAATTAATTAAATTGATATCACCTCATCTTTTAGTCAGTGTTCTCTAGTGCAGAGACTAGATGACTAGAGATTTCATTGGTGATTGATGTTTTAATTATTTGGTTTTCTTCCAGAAGCTTTTGGTAGTGGTAGCAATAATGAGCATGACTCCTGAGATTCCTTCACAAGCAGGAATATATTCATATTCCTATAAAAATATACAGTAATTATCAGATCAGTGGTCTCTCTGTAGTACTGTTTCTCCCTATATATAGGAAATTATTCTCTTACTCAGGAAGAATAATTTTCTCATGCACTGCAATCTTGTTATCTAAGGAACACAATCTCAGGAATGCAAAGGCTACATATTGCCAGGCATAAAAATAAAATAGAAGCAAAGAAGACACAGTGCAGTTATTACACAACAGAAGCAGCATCACTAAGCTGATGGGGACCACACTGATGAACTCCAGAGAGCAAAGCAAATTAATTATTAGCCACAGAGAAAAAACTAGGGTTTGCATGTTAAAAAATAAGCCAGTTTACCTCAATAAACCCTGAAATTTACTCTAGCTTTCACTGAAGACTTGGCATATTTCAATTTTTACTTTTTAGTATATCTACATTGCTCCCATTTATCCCCTGATTGAACTATAAAACGATATAAAATAGTGCCATCTAAAATCACACATAAATTAAATAATCCAGATTTGCAATATGGATAACTACTGCTCAGAGGGTATCTAACTGTCTAATAGATTAACTTTAAAACCTAAATAAAATTACTAAGGTGGCATACTTATGTCCACATAAAATTAATGGAGAAAGTTAAGATCCTAGACGAGTTGAAGTGTATTTTAAGTACTTTGGTTTTGCCACAGAAATCAGATCACTGAAATGGAGTTTGGATCTAGTGATGACATATACCAGAGTCAGATACATGATGAACTCCCAGGTCCTAAACTATAACTTCAAATAATTTTTCTTTTTCATTCATAACAGGAAGATAGTTCTGTGTGAGGCATTTTTGTTGGGTGAATAAAATCAAGCAGGATGCATATCTCCTCAGAAAAAGTATTCTTTCTGACTCAACAACTAATTTGGAGGGCTTTTAAATAAACTTGTGGAGTTCGGTGTTGGATGTTTCCCACTCTAGCCAGAAATCTACAAGTGGCCATGTGACAAACACTGAAAGACAAACATGCACAAGTACATACTGTCCCTAACATCTTATTCACCATGATCATCATCATTATTCTTTAGAGCTGCCTAAAATGAAAAGAAACACAGCAATCCACAATACATGAAGAGTTGTTCTGCTCAGATCTGCATTTTTGCTGAACTTTGTCATGACCTTGAATGCAAATCAGTCTGGGATGTATGTGTCCTAGAGATTTATTGCTGTGGTTTGCTCCAATCTTTTCTTAATAAACTGAGTCAAAAATAACTCAGACAGCTCATTAGTTATAGCATGATGCATTTTCCCCTTAATTTTGGGGATGGCAAATATCTTCATTATTCTTAGAGCAACATGTGCTGTGTGATACCTACTGTGCCACAAAAACCAGTCTAGTCCTCTATGCACCATCTGCTTAAAGAATAATCACCCTGGGAAGTATTAGTCTTTGGCATCCTACCTCACACTATTTTCTGCCTTGAATGTCTTTCACTGCATTAACATTTGCTTAGCCCTAAGATTTATCTTTCCTGTTCTCTGAGTATTATTTAGAGTTATTAATAAAATTGAAATAATCTCCTTTGCCACATTTGAGTTGTCTACATTGTAACTGAAATGAAACATTTTAGAGAATTACCTCAATGGAAACTCCATAGTGAAGAAAATTCTTGTGGCATTAGCATCAAATGTTCTATGCAAAGGAATTGTTTTTCTTCAAGGAATTTTCCAGTAAATCACTATAAAAATAACATTTCTCTTGATGTTTCCATTCTACACTAGTGTATTTTTGCCAGCTTTTTTTATTTAAAAGACATTTTGTAACATAAAGAGTATTTGTCGTAGTTTTTAATCTTCCATTTGTTCAGTGCTTTATACCTAGTCAGAGCCAACAATGGCTGTTTCATTTAAATTTTAGTCATAAATCTGCATTTCCAGGGGCAACATTAGACTCACTAAGCAGCAGTGGAATTGGGTCCTCTATCACTATGGTCTCTTTACCAGCACACTGCCTCTTTTCTCTGGAAATTGTTAACTCTGCACTGTTCATTAATCACTCTTCTCCCTTACCCAGTATTTGATGGGCAGTAAAATATATAAGCATTTGCTATATGTGACTTTTCTAATAAGTTGCACCTTGTTGAATATGGCAAGGCAATGGTGTGTCATCTTCTGGACTAACACTCATGTTAACATTTCCTGTTCCCAAAATTTAAATAGATCCACAAAAACATAAGAAATTTGTTTTATCTATGATGAAAATGTAATTATTTATTCTGTCATGCATTAGTCCTGAATTTGATTGCAGTTCTTACTTTTTAACAGCAAATTTATTATTAAAATTTTTCTTAATTGCATATCCCTGGGCAGGGATCTTGCCTCACTTGTGTCTTATTCCAGAACTAAAAGTAAAATATTGTCTAGACATTTTGCTTTGATTTGTTTGAAATCTGTAGAACATAAGGGAACAAATTTGTCCAAGTAAAACTGAAACTATACTAACCACAACCGCATAAAAAGCAATAAAGGTCTTTTCTCCTTAATTCATCTGGACACAATATCTCTACCATACCATTATTTCACATCCAAAACTTTAATTCATCCCAGAAATTAAGATTTAAGTTACTTGGATTTTTTTTTTTTCAGCATGCAATAATTCTCACTGATTTCAAATTAATTATTCAGTCCTTTCGTTTCAGGACAAACCAATCAGACTTAGTCATAATAATCCATAGGGAGTTTGCAAGAGTTTCCATCACAGAAAGAACAAAGTAATATTCAAGTATGTTAATAAATAAAATCATAAGGAGTTAGCCTGAAACATGTCAGTCAATCAGAGTAGTCTGAGGTAACACACAACCAGTATGATGCTACCAATAGGCAGAATATACATATTTTAGCTAGGAATTGTGCAAAGAATGACTTTGGTTTCTATTAGTATTAATGAATAATGGTGACATTCTTCATGAAGGACATGTTAGTTTTTATCCTTTCATGTTGCTAAACCCATGTCTTTTTCATGGGCTTTTATCCAAAATATAGATTCTTCATGTTTTTGACAAGTGGCATCAGAACATCTGCTTCCTTAGACTTTTTATTACTGCAAGGAATTAGCCATACTCTTTGACTTTTTAACTGCCTGTGAGATGGGATAGCACATAACGCAAAAAGACATCCTCATGGAGCATGATTTCATTTCCCTATTTTTATTCCATTTATTTTTAACCAGTATTTCAACTGAAATTTTGGAAGAGGCCTAGCTTATGGCTTTTACTGTGAGTGTTTTTAACTAATTATTAACACAAACTTGGGGTTTCAAGCATTTCATATGTACAGTATATAGAGAAAAAGCCCTACAATATTGTTTCAACTATTAAAGTTGAAACCTATTTCCTACTCACAGGATAGAGGCTCTAGAGAATTAGAGAATCTGGATATGTTTTAAATTCCATCATGAATTCTAATTTTTGCGTCAAGGTGAGTGCATAGAATCATAGAATATGCTGAGTTGGAAGGGTCCCACAAGGGTCACTGTGTACAGCTCCTGCCCCTGCAGAGGACAGCCCCAAGAGTGACACCATGAGCCTGAGAACATTGTTTACAGGCATCATGAACTCTGACAATGGTCACTTATGTGCTGTGACCACTTCCCTGGGGAGCTGTTCCAGTGCCCAACCACCCTCTGGGTGAAGAACTTTTTCCTGATATCCAACCTAAACTGCCCCTGAATGGCTTCAGGCCATTCCCTTGGGTCCTGTCTCTGGTCACCGCAGAGAAGAGATCAGTGCCTGTTCTTTAGCTCTTCTATGTGAGGATGCTGAAGACCTCAATGAGGTCTCCTCTCAGTCTCCCCTTCTCCAGGCTGAACAGATCAAGTGATCTCAGCCTCTCCTCATACAGCATAGGATAGAGTTGGTCTCTGATAGCATTTTTTTATGACTTACATGCTGGAAGTTGCTGTTCTAAAGTGGCTACCTGTTAAGAAAGAATATTTTTCATATAACTTTTCCATATGCTATTATATCAAGATGGAGGAAATGAGAATCAAAGACGGCATCCAAAAACAAAAGGAAAAAAACAAAAATGATGATGGCAATATAAAAAGGAGCAAATGGAAGATGTTCATACTATTAATTTGCAACTTACTAGAGGGGAGGTGGGAGAAAAATGGCAAATAAAAAAAAAGAAGACTTGTAATGTCTTGATCTTTGAAATCCACAAACTACTAAGCAGGAAATTATTTATCTGAAAATATGCGAACAGCAATGTTACTGTAGCAAATACTGATGACTGGCTGTACTCTCGGATAGTTTTGCCCTTGTTTTTGCTAATATATTTTTAAATTGTCTCAGAAAATGGGTTTTTCAGGGAAATCCTCTTGATCTTTGAAAGTGATCATCTCAAATCTCCTTGTCTTTTTCTGTTTATACCCACTTCTAGTCCACATCTTTACATGTTTTATAGTTTTACTCTGAAATAAAAATATGAAAAATGTTTCTGTTCATCTGTCAGATCTTACCTTAAGTGAAAATCCAGAGATGCAAGGTTTAGGAGGCAGACAAAGATTTTAACATAAATCTTCTTAACTAAACACAAGAAATGAGAGAAAAAATTACTTACTATTTTTTGTATTTCATTTAAGCATTTGTGGAAGAACATGTATCTACTCAAAATATTGTACATCTATAATTGATTGAACTTGTCACAATTAACAGAAATATCTTTTGCAACTCTCTAAGAAGAAAGTTTTATTATGAGACCACTTTACCGCTAACATTTAGTCCTAGGCTCATGGAATCCAAATTTTAGATAAACGCTGCTCCACAGAAAGGAATCTGAACAATTTGTTCATACACCAAATGACTTTGTTGACCTAGGTAGGAGCTTGTCACTAACATTTAACAAAATTGCATGCCTGTTTTTAAAAGCTGACAAAGACCACTTCTTTTCATACACAAAGCCTGGGTGTTTTTTCCAGAGTTACCTGAAAGCTTCACTTTTGCAGAAAACAGTACAGGGTTTTGGCTCATCTTCTCTAATGGATGATGTGATCATGCTTTACCAGGTATTTTCATTACTTTACAACATCCAAGGCTCCAGGAAAAAAAAAATCCAAATATGATTAATGATACAGCAGATTCTTGTAATAGTGGTAAAATATGCAGCCATCTAAAAATGCACAGAAACAGTTTTGCAATGATGAACTGCCAGGGAGATTAATTTCTCTAGAGCACTAGCTCTGTGCCACACATGATTCTCACAGTCACATAAGAAATTCCTTCGATCCTGGCTGGAGTTAGTCACTGCTCTGTGTACAATCCATCCCCTTGTAAACAAGCCCTTCTCTTTGCAAACATGCCTACATGGTCACAATGTGAAGATGAATGACTTACCTCAGGCTTTTTACAATCTTACATGGCTGCCAGAATAAAACTGGCTTCTATCCCAGTCTCTTGAAATATATATGAAGCTACTTGCAGATTGTGTGTATTTGAGCTTATAGATGTATCTCAACTCCTTCTTTGTCAAGTCAAAGTGTCACCAAATCAATAGTCGCAACTTCTGCCACAAGTCTACCACTGCAGAATCAAACTTCATTCTGTTAGATGTAATAATCTACAGAAAGGGATTTCAGGGTACCAACTCCATGAGCTCCAAACCTACCACCTGAAGAACTTTAGCAATATTCTATTTTAACTTTGTACTCCACATTATAATAATAAAACAATTTTCCAAAAAGGTGTTCTGGAAATAATTATTGTTTTCAAAACACTCTTAGAATACAAAATCCCAAATAAATATGTAAAATATTAATTAGCACCAATAGTATTAAAAGGTATGCTATTTTCTTCTGTCCAGTCATCTTCTGAGGATATAAGACTCAAACTGTGAGCTTGAAAACTTTAAATTTGAAAAGCAAAATATTTTCTGGAGATTAAATGGAAATAGATCCATAAGAGCTGAAATGACAACACAAACAGCAATTTATAGCATGCAAAAACTCCAGCTGCAGATGTTTTCAGTGCCAAAAGGCTGAGTTTGCTTTAAATGAACATAAACAGTGTAATTTTCATTACAAGTCACAAGTTTTCCTAGTTTCAGGCTTTATTCCCCCAGTGGATATTAATGCAGACAAATTCTTTATTTCACATTGACATTTTCAACTGTCATAGAGAGATATCACACCCCTGGGTACCTATGACCTTTCTCCCATTATGAAGAGAAACGAATACATGGAACTTTCTATAATGAGAGAAAAAGCAGCATAATATAGACACCAATGAGAATGATGCTCTTGGCAAATAGGAATAATGAAGGAATCATCTAACATGGAAACTTCACAACAAACTCTCAGAGCAGCACAATGTCAGAAGAAACCTCCAAGACCAAATTATATCTGACTTACAGAAGGGTAGACAAGCACCAAGATTACACAAAAGAAGAAACACATGGTCTCCTGACTAAAAACTGCAATAAGTCATCAGAACCACTCACACAGCTCACAACGTCCTGCTTGTCAATCTCTTCCCAAAGGCACTACAGATAATGACAGGCTGCAATGTGAGTAATTCTTTCTGCCACCTCCCTGCAACCTTGAACAGGGATGGCAGCCCCCTTTGCATGACTACACATCATATTGCCATGGCACCAACATCCCTATCATCTTGTGGTGGTAGGCACCTGCATCAAAATCACTCAATGACCATTCAAAGGACTCTATGATGTACACTTCATAAAAAGATTTTTAAAAAAATCCCTAGTTCCTTCTTCAAGGTATCATCATTAACTACTGACTGCTACCAGCTATAATATTTTAATATATGATTTCTGGTAACACAGTAAAATAGGAAGAAAGCCACATGCATGTTGTCTATGGGCATCCTACAGATTAAAGGAAACTGGTTCATGAGTTGGTCCCAAGCATTATTATATTTGTATAGTAAAGACAGGATATTGCAGTGGAATTCTGCAACTATCAGAGAGACATTAGACTATTTGCTTTTAATGCAATACACATACAGTGAAATAAATACCGCTATCAAAAAACATTAGAACAACTTATGTGGAAACCTCTTTCTGTTATCACTACAACCCACGTTTGAATTTAGTGACAAATTAAGTTGCATCCAGAGTAAATCAAATCAACGGAACTTTAAGATAAGTATAAATTACTGGGCATGCCATAGTCTCACAGACAATACAAGCTGTGCCCAACTACAGAAGACACTCTGCATTTAAATATTTCTTTTACTATTTCTTGTGCTTAGTACGTGAGGTTGTTCAACTTAACTGGCAGCTGTACAAGAAACAAGAAAAATTAATTTAGTAACACCACAAGGATCATTCAGATTTACAAACTAAGAGAGCAGCAAATGGTTTAATATGGAGTTTAAGGACTAACAATATCTTTTTTTACTTACATTACTTCCTTAGTTTCCAGTAAAGTATGTACAGAAAATCTGGTAGGAGCATAAAGGGCTGTAATCCTTTCTATGGAGTCAGGCCTTAAATGACAAATCACCACAGTACTTCTAAGAGACATATAATCAGCAATCATAGATTAAGCTTCACCCTCACACTGAATGGAATATGCTTGCAGGAGAACAAGGGTCAGTAGGTCTCTGTGAATTAGAAAGACCAGGCAGCACTGTTATATTAGCTAATTAAGAGGAAATTTGTCTGGAAAGATGAATGCTAAGAAGATTTGAAGTCATGAAGAGAGGCGCTCTAGCTCATGCTAGATTTAAAACTGCAGATTCATCCTATTTGTAGTAGTCCATAATACCAGACATACAGGTCAGCAACTGACTAAGCTGATGTGGCTGCCACACACAGAACAGCAGCTTGCAGTGACTGCAAATTCAATCAGAGAGATACCAACCATTCCACCATTACATAACTTGAGTATTGACCACTGCAAGGACTCTGTCGACTCTGCTTACTGGGTTATGATTCATACTCATCTTCTGTAGCAACTTTAGATCTAAATACTGGACTTTACATCCCACTTGGAATCCACAGATATATCCATTAAAGGAGAAATTTTATTAAAAAATTCACAATTTTGACATCTAAATGAAGTTCATTATCCCAATACTTATGGAAATTACTGAATTTAAACCCTGAGATTAATTTTCAGTTAATTGCATAGATATTAAGAGTGATCACAATAAGGCAGATGGTGCTTACTATTTTGAGAACTCAAGATAAGTAACTACTAAGTCTAATTGCAGCAATGTTTGAAAACTATTTCCATGTTACATGAAAATTCAATACCATACTGGTATTGAATGCTCAATGGATATGGATAGCAATATCATTCATAGTACAATAGAATGTAAAATTTCAACTAAGTGTCCTGAACATCACAAAACCTAATTCTAAACCCCTGTTTTCAACTTCTGTGAATTTTCAAAAGCTCTGAGGAATAGAGATATTCAAAAATTTAGTTATCCTAGGCAATTATGGAAATTATATTAGCCCTATGGCAGCATAATATTTCCATTTATCTCTTCCACTTTCATAGAACCATAGAAGGAGAAACATGCTTCATTTTGATACTGAATGTGCTGTCTACACTATGGGCTTCATTCATTAGTTTTCAGAACAATATTTTCATGTCTGATAAATAGCATTTCTGGGCCAATTTTACAGCTGTGTGTCAGACAGAAACAATAAAAAGGCATGTTCACACTGAATTATTATATAATCTGATCACATGTTCAAGACTTAAACATCCAGAAACAATGTGACTTTTTGCAATTACAAATATTATATGGCCCCTGTATATTCAGCTTGTCAAATATTTTTAAAGATCAAATGTAATCCATTGTTCTTTTTTTTTCCTCAAAATGCATTAATCTGCAACATCCGAGGGAGGTCAGCTACTCCCTTTGTATGCCAGTTTCTGTCAGACTGTAATTCTCTTGAGTGATTTTTGCCTTTTCACAAATCACTAAAATTTTGTTTGGAATGGACCAGAAATGTTACTATAATCTGGATAATAATCAGAAAATTCCTCCTCATAAGATTTATGTTGTTACCTGAAATGGATGTTCTATAGCAGGAGATATCTGGTTTGCAAAATGTCTATTATGCATCTATTATGCATCTGGCTTGGCCATCATTCAATGGCTTTAAGATGTTGGTGATGTGTGAAATTACATATACAATTTGCTAGAGATATCTGTCAACATCTAAAAAGCCTCAGATGTACCAGAAGCCAAATTTAGGGATCAAACTCAGTAAAATATTCTGTTTATCTAAAGAGATTTTAAAATAACAATTTTGCTAACCCTATTTACTTCTTTACACTCTGCTAAGAGAATTCAAAATTTATTATCTTCATTTTATTTTTCCCCATAGAACTCAGCAGCATAGATCAGATCCTCCTTGTTGCAAAATCTCTGTCTTTACATTACAGATTCTATAGATTCATCTCTGTTGTCTGTCATATAAGTAAGAAATAAATATATGTGATCCAGGAAAAAAACACTGTTCCCAGAGATTCATCTCTGTTGTCTGTCATATAAGTAAGAAGTAAATATATGTGATCCAGGAAAAAAACACTGTTCCCAGATGTATTCAAGCAGTACCAAATACTTTCCTCACACTGGAATAAACACCCTTTACTCTAGACACATGACAAAAGGATAGCAGTACCACTCCTCTGCTTCACTCCTGCAAAATAACTACCCCACTTCTGAACAAGTGAACACAGTTATAGCCTATGTATGACACCACATTTAAAAGAATTACACATTTTGGAGAATTTAATGCAGAGTGAGAGAAAAAAAATGTGTACCTTGCAGATGACATGGCAGGCTGAGACAGTGAAAAACTGAGATTCTGGAAATAGTATCTATAACCCCTGAAAAAATAACAACAATGCAGTCAGCTATTAGTGCTCCATCATCATATATCCATCCATAAACATGGCATACACTGACACAGCATACACATGAGCCCTGGCACAACTTGCAGAGATATATGCCTGCTTCTAGAAAGGCCATTCATTTATTTACACAGACCATTCATTTATTTACCCCATTCCAGATTGACAAGTGAATAGGTGCTTTTCAAATCAGCCTAATGATTTGTTCACCCCTGAGAGGCAAAATTTTGTCCTCAGTGGTAAATAATACTTTATCAAGATACCCAATTATTCTTTCTGTTTAGCAGGAAAATGGGAATTAGTTCAAAGTTATACTAATAGTTCTCTGTATAAATAATTTGGTACATATATTTAAGCTGTCCATGATGGGCTTCCAAGAAAGTAAGGACACACACACACACACAAATACTTATGAAATCCAAAACCAACACAGAGTTTACTATTTGCTAGACCTAGTAAAAATTAAATTAGTGTCTGAATACATCTAGTCACACAAATGGGTGCAAATATCACTCTGTAAGGTTTTGGATAACAAAAATATTTTTTTTTAAATGGTCCTAACAGCAAAAAGTAAAGTTGCTTAGTAGACCTGGAAAACAAGGTACAAATATTGTAGAATAAGAAAATCGTTATAGTAGTTATAGCCTTAAATGTATCTGAGAAAGCAAAATCCAGTTTAACCCTGACTGTCAATAGACAGAGAATTTAGGGTAGCATCATAAAGCAAATGATAAGTCATTTCCTTCTGTTAATTCTATATTCCAATCTGTCTTAAAGGATCCTTCCAGAGGGTAATTCTAGACTGCAATACCGAGATAGGAAGAAAAGGGTAACAGTTAGCTTGCAGTACTACTGTACTGTCTCAGTCTATCACAATAGATCCCAGTTTAGTTTACCACTATTTATCTGCATTTTTAATAAACAATAGAATGGAAGTATAAACACATTCAGTGTTATATAAAAAAGAGCTTATAGTGAGAAAGAGACAAGTTTTGCTAATGCCATGTTTAAACATCAAGAATTGAAATAAACTTAATTTTTCTTTGAATTCTAACACAGATAGAGGAAATAAGACTTTATCAAGATATAAATAAAGAATCACCCATTAGTTGTGAGACACATTGAAAATATATTAGTTCTCTGAAATATCCTTACCACTACTGAATCTCTACTGGACTTAATATCAAAACTTGAAAATAACTTTCCCTGGGGAACTGACAGAAGTGAGGAAACATCTTAGAAAAAATCTTGAGAACAAGGCAGATGACCAAGCCAGCAGAAGCACTGTGCCAGATGCACAAAGAGAGTGAATATTTAATTTTCAGCGCAGTTCTCAAACATGTAACTTAGATCTTACAAAACCTTGCTCAGATACAACTGTTCTTGAGGCAGCTAGGATTCTAAGTACATTAACTGGAAGTTATGCTTCACTTGTATTTTTGCATAATTCTGGCACCTTTAACACAGAAGACAGTAAGGTTCAGTATGTCTTTTGACTGAGGAGATATGCACCTATCTCATGAAAAGAGGTTAGGTAACCAGGCTATAACCTAGTCTGGAACAAGGCGTTCTCCTATGAAAATTGTTTCTCAAAGTACAGAATAATTACAGGCTAAATAAAGACAGAGATTTCTCTACAAGCTGGCAACCAGAGCACTCAATATGGAATGGAGACTTGAATTCAATATTTCCAATGGCTATTATTTATTCTATATTCTGTCTCAAGAATTCCTTACTGACAGATCCAAAGTCAGCTACTTATTTTAACATATGCTTACAGAACTAATCAGAGGTTCATTTTGGGGTGAAACTATGAGAATTTGAATAAAAAATTGGGATTTAGTCTTGCCTAAGTATTATCTTTAATCATCTACATTCTTCTAAATCAGCCCATCTATTTTACATTCCTGTCTCAGGGTGGAGGTGTATATTTATCTACAACAAGCACAGAAAGGGCCTAAGGACTTGTTAAACAGTGATGGTTAGCTTCCAGGTCATTAAAATACAGCAATAATCCAACTCAGAGAAGTCCAGGTTTTAAAGACTGAGTAGAAGTTCAGTTTTGAGAATCAGCAATAGTGACTAATTCCTCCCTGGTTTCAATAACAGCACTTAGTGAGGAATGAGACAGGTTTACTTTTAGCTCACATCTGAAATAGCCTTGTCAGTAAGAATCTGTTGACTTAACAGGCTTTGAAAAGAAATGTAATGCCAGAAAAAAACATACTCATAGGTAAATCTCAACTACTTGACTGGTTTGTTCTGAATTATTTTATGGTCAAAATGCTGAGATTTGATACTCATATAATGTCAATAAGCCAAAATGCACAATGTATAGTGAGTCAGTGGTGCTTGTGAGAGAACAGGATGTTAATGGTTAATGGCTGAAATATTTGGCAATATTTGTGGAGGGGGCAGGGTGCTTTGCTGGGACCAGGTTTGCAACCCCAAACAGGCAGGAGGGGAGGTTTTGAGCATGTAGTGGCAAAGCGTATGGTTTCCATAAGATAGAGGGGTGAACACTCACCACCAGAGGCTCTGGGGTTTGAGCCAGATAAGGGAAATGGATGATGATAAGCAGATCCTGCAAGGTGGGATAGTGCTTTTTATCATGCCAGTGTCCTCCCCCAGCCCAGCCTGGGGAAAGTCACATCTATATGGGACATTCACTTTCACACACATAGGCATGCGGATGTTCATCCCTTCCCACTGGGCATAGCTGGCTCAACTGCACTGACATGAGAGGCAGCTTCATGTCTTAGAAGGGCTCATAAACCATCAAAGACCCCCAAAGCACCCCCCAGACTCATTTCTGGGGCCTTCCAGCAGAGGACTGTGCATGACCCACAGTGTTGCAACAGACAGAGTAAAGCTTCCACCCAGGGGAGGTAGTGGGGTGCTTCCCACCTAACCTCAGTGTATTTTAACCAATTGAACTTTGTGTTTCACGGGATTTCCCCCTCTCCTGGCAGATCGAGACTGCAACCATCACTTTGGCAAACAGACATTGAAACTGCAACAATCAAGTTTTATCTCTGGATCTACGGGTGATGATGTCTTTCTACTCTTATTCTTTCTCTTTTTTCCCCCATACATTCTCTGAAGTATTATTTTGATTCCTTTAAATTGCTACATTTCTGTAGATAATAACAGCCAAAATGACTACATACCTACTTTCCATTAAACTGTACTAAAATAAACCATATATATATATATGTTTATTTATAAACACCAGTCATTGAGTGTCATTTCACTCTGAGGGAAACCTAAAGGGTTATAAGAACCACTGAGGAATCTAATACAAGAACCTGAGTTACCCTCACTGACAGGGACGGGTTGTAACAGTGCTCTATTCAGAAACCTCTGCAGCATTTAAAAGTTTATTAAATTAAATATAATGAAAAAAATTGAAACCTGTTATGCTTTATTAATTAACAGGAAATGTCAAAATTAAGTGCAGTAATTACTTGAAATTTTGTGATTGTTTATTTGCCTATTTCAAATGACTTTTAAAGAAATAGTAAGTACAAGTGAAAGGCAGATTGCTCCTGGAGAGGTATCTCACTTTAATTGCCAGTGACTTCACTGAAGATGCAGAAAGAAGACACAAGGGTTTCATGAGAAAACGTTTCATGAGAAAAGATAGGTACTTTTTCCTTCTATTTCTAATTAGCATTTGAAATAATATAATGAAAAATATATTTTAAAATGTATTTGAAATCTTCAAAAGAACTGATGAGTTCTACATGTAGCTTCTGAAGATATTTACATTGCATGCTTCCATCTTTTTCAAGTCTCTTAAATACGTGAGACTCTCTCTAAAATAATTCTATTGCTAGGGCCATAGGCAGAGATCCTTCTAGGGTTCCATGCATTTGAAATCTTAAAAAGAGATTATTTGGACCTATTTCCCAAACCTGATTTCAATCATAGTAGTATTAGAATACAATTTCCACTATATTGGCTGACAATATATTAACATTTCTAGTGCTAAAATAGTTCAATATGGACAGTTATGAAAGCGTTAACATATAATCTTGTATATCCCTTAATAGTTGAGCACAGAGAGTAGCATGAAGCATACAGATGAGAATAACATGAAACAGAAACTGTGATCTTGAGTTGCCAAAGGCATTATCAAATCGCCTCTTATCTCTGTCATTGAGAACCTCAGCTCCTTTGGTCTTCCACTTTACAGGTACTAACTGGTTTGCAGTGTTACCAAGTGATTTTGGGAAGCATGTAAGATAAATACATTAGACAGTATACACATTAAAAAAAAATACATGTATGTGTAGTATTAAAAATCTTTCCAAAAGAGGTTAAAAAAAAAAAAAAAGAAAAGCTTACAAAAGTTTCAGGCCTGCACAAAGCACCATAACTCTAATGAGTTTTTTGCACCATTTATAGAATCCTCAAAAAAATTAAGCACAGCAGGGATCTCTGTTGTCATTACTTACAAGACTAGGATACTACACAGTAGCAGTAATACCATGAGCTTTGAAGTGACCACATTGTTACAGCAAAATCCCATCTGGTATTTTCCCCTGTTTCTCCATAAATGTCATTTATACACCAGAGCTGCTCTCATAACCTGTTCTCAAAAGGTGAAAACACTAAGCAGATGTGGGACAAAATGAATTGTTTATATGGCATGTCTATGTTTCAGACAGGCAAATTAGAGTTCTATTTTCCCCTACTGACACTATTATACCGTGAAATAAAATTCACAGCATAAGAAAAAATCACAAACAGAACAAACAAACAAACAAAGCCAAGACTACCGTGAACCAGAACACATAAGCTGTATATCTAGAAAAAGGTACAAGATTAAGTTCTTGGAATCATAACTTGGAGACTTTAAAATACCAGATATTGCTTAGAGAGCCTTCTGACCATCAGATACATGCCACTAAACAAAATGAAGCTTTTAAAAAGGAGTGAAAAGGAAATTGTAAATTTTTACTTCATCACCT